TGGACACCGAGGGGCAGAGCGGGACGGGGCTGGCTGCATACTGTTGCTGAATGTTTCAAACTGGACAGGCGACACTGAGTATCAATGCATGATCATAGCTGCTGGGGCTGGTGCAAAACCAGTTTTGTCACGGCCATTAATTTCTAGAAAAGGCCGCGTGCCATCGAGCGGTTAGGGAGCCTGCTCGTGGCCAGATCCCATCGCAAGATAATCCAAAGGCCTTGTCATTTCTCAGAATAAATGTCTGCGTCTTCAGAAGGGATTTCTTCTATTTCTGGAAGGCTTCTGTGGAGCAGGCACAGAGGCCGTGTTTTGCAGAGAACTCTGTAGTTTTGAAGCACGGAGAGGGATGTACTGACACCGGATGCCTGCGCATTTCAGGACCACGAGCGAGGGAAGTCTGAGATTCTGGCCCTTGCGTCCGCCCTGGAGCTAAACGGCCGTTTGGACAGAGGTATCCATCAAGTGCTCTCTCATGCATTATCTAAGATCACGGAAGACGGGCCATTTCAGGGTAATTGCTACCCTGCGACCCACGGCAACTTCAGGCGTACTACCTGTAGTTTATCATCTTTTAGGAGAACTGGGCCACAAAGAGAAGTGGCGGTGACTCACGCTTGCTTCAAAACTGAACACGAATCTTCCTCTTGCCTTCCGTCCCCCACCCCCACCCTGGCTCTTACTGCCACACATAACTCACTGGCGCATTCCTGTTTGTAACTGTCACCACTGCTGCATCTAAGCAGCCATGCACCAGCAGAAGGCCCCTCTGTTGTCCCAGAAAATCTTCAACATCGCCTCGCTGAGACGGAAATGATACAATACAGTTTCAAATACTCCCCTACCACAAGTTGCCCTTTAAAACACTGTTGTGGGAAAACAATACTACTATATAATTTTTTTTTCTATTTTTTAGCCCCAGAATTCACTAAACATCATTGGGCTGAAAATGAAAAGGGCAAACAATTCAAATGATAAAAGGTCAGAGGAATGGTTTACTGGCACTGAAACCGCTAATAGCAGGATGCAAATTCCTGCTCCTCCCATGCATTCTCTTCAGTTTAAATAGAGTGTCAAAGATCTTAAGATACAATTAAACAAGATGAAAACATTTTAAACACGTTTAAAATGGCATCAAGTGCAGGCTTTGTTGTTCCTGTTGAAGCAAAGACATTGAACTTGTCCGGTCGTTGCTAAATTTCCATGTGACATAACATGTCACCCTGGGAAGTGGTATTTACTTTCCTAATGCCCCCTCAGGAAAGGTTAGGAGATGTGTATATTTCTGAAGATACAGTCAACCTAAATGTTAATTTTTGTGGGTTTTCTTTGTTTTGCTTTTTCACCCTGGCCCAAAGCCATCCTCATTTTTCCTCTAGTCCAACTATCTAAAATAAGTTTCTTTTTAAGCCTGATGAAGCCTCAGATATTCCAGGGTCCAAAAATGCCCCAAGATTCCTTAGCAGATGTTCACTAATGGAGAAAAATGAGCGATGAAGTATTCTGCAAATGGTAATAATTATTCCTTTGTGTAAGCAGAGTTAGTCAACAAGAATGTGGCTTCGGTGCAGTGGCAACATTCAAATCTCCGTCACTTCAGGAACCACGGAGAGTCTTCCTTGCTCACCTTACATGTTCATCATGGGCCACCAGGGGCTCTGGTGTCATCTTTACCCTGAGATCCATCTAGGGGAGCAGCCTCTATCTGGGATGTTGAGCGAGCACAGAGAATGTTTCATGCTGGCAACCAGTGTTGTAGCTGTGAAGTGACACGTGACCTTTCCCCCCCAAGCACAACCTTATTATGTGTCTGGACTGTGCAACAAGCCAGAAACCTTTAGCCAACGCCACAGGGATGGCTGGCTGTACAATGGTCAACAAACCCAGAACCAGGCGCCCGTTTCTTTGAATGCAATAAATCAGCTCCATTAATCTGAACTCTCTTTTAATGGTCAGTATACTTAAATGGCTTCTTTGACTCTGGAAATGGCTCAAGTCTATATGCCAGCTCATGGAGTCAACACCCGTGTTTAACTCACACAACGGCGCCCTCCTGTGTTCCTTGCGAGGCGGATCAAAATAAGTTCCACCGATGACTTGTAATATCCAGCTGTCTGTATGACGTCGCAGTCTAGCCAGTGCTGCTAGGTATGGTTGCACGGGTTGTGCACTGCACAGATTTAGACAGCACTGCTCCCACTGTGGTGTGTTCATGTCACACCTGGGGCTGTTCAACAGACAGCACAGTCATCTATGGAGAGGGTGAAAATCCATCCATCTGCTTTTTTTTTCCAACCAAAACATCACTCCATAAATCTGAGCATAAAGCAGTCTATTTAGATCCTGTTTTCTGTGTCTGTTTCCTCATCGGTAACGGGACAATGATAACATCTGATACGTATGCAGTGAAGACTGAGTAAATGAACTCACAGAAGCACTCGGAATGAATGAGTCTAACCAAACATCATCCCTTATGCCAGCCGGTCACAGCAGCGTGTGGCCCTGGGATGTGTCCCACCTCACCCTCGGTGCACTGAAACATGTGGCACAAAGTCACACTGTCTCTGCTCCTGATGTGGCCGCTGGGAACAGGTGCCCTCGATACCAGCTCTGACGGATGGGCTGTCTGGTATCTCTCTCTCGTAGCAGTTACCGACCTGATGCATTTCCCGTGCTTGATAAAACGCCACGAGCGCCCTTTCCCGAATTATCTGAAACTCTGACTTCTCCCAACCTTTCCATATGGCACTTGTCACCTTAGTGGAGACACACTATGTCGCTTTCAAATCCTGCTGCAGAACGTCCCTCAGATTTTAACGCGGAGCTGACGCTCTGCATTAAGTGAACGTTTTCAACCCTGACTTTTAAAAACACAAAAGTACAGGAAACAAGCAACTCATGAATTAATTGGAAACATTACACTCAAGATACGTGGTATTATTTCAAAGGCTGCTGAAAGAAGGTGGCTTAAAAACATTCCACTGTCTTTTGAGCTTTTTCTACGACTAAAATCTGATCAATGAAACTAATATATAACCTTCACTGCTGTCTTTTACATAATACACATGAAGCAATTTTAAAATATTTCAAAAGTGATAAAGTTTGCGGGGAGTTACAAAAAAATGTATTTCTTGCAGGATAATTGGTTCTGTGCAAAACAACCATAAGACATTTCATCCGTATCAAAAGGTCCTTGAAATGTGGTCCTGTCCAAAACAGCCATGGAGACTTCTGGTTCATAAGGTGTTTATTATGGTCGCTTCACAATAGCGTGTTAAGTTTCAGGTGTACAGCAAAGTGATTCAGTTATCCACACGTACATTTATTGCTTATCTTTTTCAGAGTCTTTTCCATCACCGGTTATGACAAAGTATTGAATGCAGTTCCCCGTGCTATACAGTAACTCCTTGTTGCTTACCTCCTTTATGTATAGTCGTGTGTAACTGTTAATCCCATACTCCCAGTGTGTCCCTCCCTCTGCCCGGTCCCTTTCCCACTTAGGCACCACAGGTTTGTTTTCCAGTCTGTAACTTTGTTTCTGTTTCGAGTATAGATTCACTTGACAACCCGCTCCTCTGAAGACGGGACAGATGTGCCGGGTAAAATGAACCGCGTCACCCTGAAAAGGTCACTTTGAGGATTTGAACTTCATGAGCAGAAGTGCTTTTAGGCCAAACGTGTGCGGGTCTCCCAGACACAAGGTCCATTACGTTCTTCTTAGAAAACGCGGAAAACTGCTTCATGACGGTATTTCCCTTGCACGGAACACACGGCTCGTTTTCAACCTGCTAAGACTGTAATTAGGAACGCTGACGTTCCCTTAATTGAAAAGGCCCCTCTAACACACTCTTTGACAGTGTTAAATATTGGGGAATTACATTCACTTGATTCAGAGCCCCTTACACCCGGAGATGGTCTAAAGCGACGTTCGCTGGAGGCAACTGGAGGGGCACAGAAGCGGTGTGGGGCACTGGGACGCGGAGGACGGCCAGGCACCCACGCCGCCTGGAGCAGTGGGAGGATGCCCAGGGGGACGGGCAGTGAGTGGAGGTCAGACAGCTATGACTGACAGGGGACTCAGTCATCTCCATCACACGTCTCATCCTCTGAAGACAAGACGAGGTCATGAGGCTTGTCTTTACTGCAAGCCAGAGAGGAGCCTGGATCAGTCAATGCCTTTTGTCCACGCACACATCTGCCTCCTATGATCCACAGTCGAAAAGCAGAGAAGGGAGGACAAGGTTCTCTGTACCAAAATTTAGCTTCTTGAGGGAGGCTAACAGCTCAGTGGTGGAGCACGTGCTTAGCACACAGGAGGTCCTGAGTTCTATCCCCAGCATCTCCGTTAAAAACAAAACGAAACTGAGCTTCCTCTAACTTCTCTGCTCCAAACATCTGTCCAGCCAAGAAGCTGCTTCATCTGGGTCTGGGGCCAGTTAAGAACTGGAAACACAGACAAGTATGTCTTCAGGCAAAGACAGGTTACATCAGAACATGAACCGGGTGAAAACACACAAAAATTCTAGTTTGTGCCTGCGATGGTATCCATGTGCATCTGATCTTCAACCGCACACATTCAGGATTTCTTCCTTCTGGTTGTAGAAGAAATGAAGACGTTGTTTGTGGCCCCTGAAAAGAGGCCGTGTGCGCGATGGATAATGTGGCCTTGGGCTGCCCTTTAACCAGTCAGTGGAAGTCAGGGGCCATTTCATTTCTTATCCGTCTCCACGCTTCCTACCCCTCCGTGGAGCCCCGGGGGCGGGGGTCTCCAGCAATACGTCCTGACCTGAAACCCGCCTCCCCCTCACTTAACATCATGCCTCAAACATAGCAAACGCTCCGCACGCTTGCTGAAGCTGAGTCCCGTGAGAAAGCACAGCCCCAGAGCACGGGATTTTTAAATTGCCAAGAGACCTTTTATTGTAATTTTGTATTAACGTCAGAACAAGGGGGTCCTGGGAGACCTTCACAGGTGCACTCACTTCACGGACAGCATTGTCCAGACATGTGCCAAAGACTTGCCCGTCTCCACGCCTCACTGGCTGCCCTTCAGGGCCACCTGAAATCACGGTCCTGTCTTGACTCCTTAGCTCCCACGATGGGTAGGCCGGGATTCTGCTTTCCAGGCAGCGTTACCGGCCTCCTAAAATAATGCCTATCTATAGGTTACCGTTTGCTTAGCTTTTCATATCCATGAAATGCTAGAAATACAAAGTCGTTTTCCAAGAAGAATTTGTTTAAAGCTTCAAAACCCACTAAGGTTTGGACATGCAACTCAAGAGCTCATACCAATGGGAACTGAAATTTCCTGTTGTACATTCCAAGCAAAACTTTCAGACGGTATGTGATTTGAAGTCGAAGGTAATTATGATTATTATAAATAAACCTGATTTTCAAATACTGATAAAGGCAAGTGAAGCTATTCTGAGGCAAATACTGGAAAGCTCTTTGTACATCCAGACGTATGTGTGCCCTTCTTGGTTGTTAATATTGCACAGATTAAACAATTAATTCCATACACAGCCATGTATAGAAACACTGTGACAGTACCTCAAGTTATTTCGTCCTCAAATACACATCCCCACGTCATAAAGTGTTCCGTCAAAGTCCAATTTCACTGACTATGTTCAACTTGGAGTAAACACAATCATTTTAAACATTCAGTTCATAACAGTGATCTTACAGAGTATTTTCCCTGATCATATGAGCAGTAATCCTAACACATTATTAACACGCTCTCTTTAACGTGCACTCTTGAACGAGAGTATTTCCTACAACAATGTGACAGATGTTTGGCAATTGTTTTGGAATGAGAAATCCAGACCATAACAAGAACCCCGCTTGCTTGCCAACTTTGAACCATTCCCAGGGAGGCGGGGGAAATCATTTCTTTTTTTTTTTTTTTAAGAAAAAGAAAGGTTAAAATCCAAACTAGCAGAACTTCAACAGGAGCTTGGGAAAGGCTTCCGAATCTCAGAAATTCTCCAGTGGGGACAAACGGAGGAAACTCCAGCCCACAGTCGGAAAGCCTGGGGCACAGGAGCATGCATCCTTTCCAAAGTGCGCGGCGGGGTCAGGCACTCCATTTACTGGCACCCTCATGGAATTGAGAAAACTCTGAGCTGAGAGTGATGTTCAGACATGTTCCCAAAAGAGATGAATGGGTGGCGGAAGGACGGCAGCTCCTGCGGACTGACCGACAGAGGAATTTGTGCAGTGTGGGCGGAGGATGCACAGTGTCTGAAGGTGACAGGTGTGTTCTCCGCGCGGGTGACGTCTTTCCGCGGGAGGGGCTGGCGGAACTCGCTCCAGCTCTGTCCCTATCCGCCGATCTCCCACGAGATCCGGTGACGCCATGTCCCTGCGTTCCTGAGCTTGGGGGAAATGGAATTTAAACAACAGTGCACATCTCATGGCGGATTCCAGGAATAGATATTTCTTAGCCACAGGATCAGACCACACAAAACACAAGTACCGACATCAACTATTGTTCTCTCAGCACTAAATTCTGCGAGAACTCAGGATGTCATGGTTATGGGCAAGGATCACGGATTGCTTGTCCCCCTGACACCACACAAAATATCGTACATTCTCCACGCCGATGATTCTGAATTACATCACAAGGGACTCCTTGAACCGTAGCATTGCTGAAGTGGTCCTTCAGTTCAGAACCTCCGTTCCCCCAAAAAACAGTAGAACCCAAATACAATGCTATAAATTATGAGACAGAAATTTGTACAGAAGAGATCTGCCTTGGCATTATCATTCCCGAGGGGTTCCACCCAAAGTCTGCTGCACAAACAAATCTGTCTGTGAGTCTCTGCTGTTCTCACATAAACAGTATTAAGCTTCTAGTTCCAGATTTTAAATATTGCAAACTTCTTGAAGAAACTACGTATACACAACAGTAGATGTCATGATAGCATTTCGTACGTCTTGAAAATAATACTGACAGTCATGGCCTTCCAATAGCCAAGCTGGAACTCACCATCATCCATTATTGTTTAATAAGACAGTCTTTTATTCGTGATCAAGTTGCGTATGTTAGCCGCAGAGAGCACTTTTTAAACATCATTCTGTTTTTCATCAGAGACCTCTGTGAGAATCACGGTGCCCACAGCATCACATCAGCTCATACCTTTTATTTTTTTAAACAGAGTTTTAAAAAAAATTTTCTTTTACTATTTTTTTTTGTGGGGGGAGGAGGTAAAGTCTGTTTACTTACTTTTAGAGGTACTGGGGACTGAACCCAGGACCTCCCGCATGCTAAGCATGCTCTCTATCACTTGAGCTACCCCCGCCCCACGTCAGCTTGTCGGATGAGTGACACCTTCTGCCGTGGATCATACACGTTGGCTGAGAGGTGAAGAGGTGAGCTGTGCACCTTGCTACGCTCTGTCTGCCCCGGTGTTGGACATACCCAGTGGAATCCCCTCTCCCGCATTCAGCCACGGAAGATGGAAGTCTCACATCCGTGCCTCTATTTACCCCATGGGGTAACTGCGGGGCTCTTGACGGAGTCTCCACGTGATAAGACAGAGGATGATCCAAATCGCAGGTTTGATGATCCAAATCTGCCAGGGCCGGCTTTACCCAGGGTGGCTCCCAGTGCGCGTCCGTCATGTAGCTGGCGGGGCGGGCACGGTGCGTCCTCAGACACACACAGCTAGCGGCTCCCTGTTCCGTCCTGCTTTTCTCTGTCACACTGGCAAGACAGGCTGGGCGAGGAGCAACACATCTGAAGCCACGGCTTCCAGATAATGTTCCCCAGCGACAGCTGATTGGGGACGTCTCGCAGGGTCTCGGTGTGGCGGTCTGCCGCCTGCTGCATGGCCCCCAGGATCTCCCGGAACTGGGGCTCGGACGTCGGAGTTAACGGGTTTCTCTCCCGCGGGTCTTTGGAGAGGTCAAACAGTAAGGGCGGGTCGTGGTAGGTGACGTGTCGTCCGTGACAGAAACACACGTGTGTGGAGAAGCATCCGTTGGCACCCTCGGGGGAGAAGTTGGGTGTGAAGAAAAAGGCTTTCCAGATGGACGTGCCTGCGGTTGACAAGGACAGAAGTGGGCATCGTGGGGACAAGGTCACGCCCACCCGAATCAGAGCATGCACAGAAATCACACTGCTGGTGCTTCAAGAAGGCAAAGACCTGTTGATTCTGGATGAAATGAATTTCTCATGCTTAAGGCTCGAAAGAGTAAGAACCATAGCTTAAAACAAAACAAAACAAAACATGCGCTGCTATTTAACTGAGAAGCAGTAAAAGAAGATGATAAAGGAGTAGCTGTTACGGCACAAATTCAGCCGTATTAAAAACCCCGGCCTTTTCTCCTTTTTCAGAATCCATCTCTCTCTCTGATTGGCCTCTCTCTCTTCCCTCTTTTTCCTCAATCCCTAATTTCTTGGGAGAGGCAGTGCTGGCAAGAAAGGAAGAAAGCTTACTGACTGTTTGAGCAGAGAACCGTAAGAGGACTGTCATTTCAGCCGAATCAGCGTCCCAGCTGGGAGCCGGAGGGCAGGCAGTCAGCAGACACACACAGCAACTAACAGACTCCGCTCCTGGCGCGGGCCCTCTTCTCCGCCTTCAACGTTCAAAGCTCGCAGCCTGTACTTTTGTTTAAAACAAAGCAGAGGGAAGAGGCAGGCTGCAGGCTGACACGGAGGTGAGGCTCGGTACTCGGTACACGGCACACACACGCACACACACACACACAGCCTTCAGGAATGATCTTAAACACGCTAGGACCTCGGTTAACATTCGATTTCCTTGGCTCTGAGAAAGTCCAATTGAATCCAGTCCAGAATTCAGTGAGGCTGTGGACAGACTGCAGCTGGCTTACAGAAACGATCGATCTTTTGGGGGTGAAGGAAACATTCGGACATTAGATTGTGACTACGGTTAGAAAACTCTGTACATTTACTGAACATGATTAAATTGGAATTTAATGTTGTGTATGTGATAAATGCATACTTAATAAAGGTGTTAAAAATCCCAAGTCCACCCAAGGACGGAGTGCTTAAATAGGTTTTAAAATGTAAGTTCTGTGCTCCCTGAGATACCCAATGTTGACCTTTTTAGAAAAAAGGGATTTGCCAACAAATAATTGTGCGAGGACTGATCTCCTGTTCATTCCACAAAGATAAGACTTCCTGAGAACTGACTGGTAACCGCACATCCCCTGACAGAGGTCTACAAACTGTCTCCTGGGTGGAAAAAGGTGGCAGATACAAACAGACAGTTAACATGTACTAAAAATGTCCTATTAAAAAATTTAAATTATTTTTTCGGGGGGGCAGGTAATTAGGTTTACTCATTTATTTTTTAGAGGGGGTACTGGGGATTGAACCCCAGACCTCATGCATGCTAAGCACGTGCTCTCCCAGTTCAGCTACATATATAGCCTTCCTCCCTGAAAATGTCCTTTGTTCTGCTCCATCCTTACAGGGTTGTCACATACAACCACAGAGGCTTTCCCACTACAGAGCATCACACACCTACGTAATTCACTTCAGTCGTTTGCTTGTAGCATGCCAACGGTGGCTTTTGCAATTATAGGTGTTGAGGGACCCACGGATGCAGACGGAAAATAAATGAATGGAATCAACTGAAAGCCATCGTCACGGGTGTCTGCCGTGCCCCCAAACAGCCCATGACCTCAGACAAGCACATTCGAGGGAAAGGCAGCCTCTCTGGTTTCGGAGGAGAACCAGGAAGCCCACACAAGCGACGTGAACGTGGTACAACTGAGTCTATACTTAAAGGAATCCGTTACGCGGATCACTGACGCTGGCAGAAGCGGCGGCACAGGACGTCCCTGTCAAGGTACACAAGTGACAGGTGCTCAGCACACCTGCCTTTTAAAGAGGAGTTCAGGCTGACCCGCGGTCGAGCGAGGCTGGAGGAGAAACTGCAGGGCCCGCTGTCCCTCCCCAGGGGAGCTTACAGACGAAGTGGGTTCCCTTGACACTCTGTACATCCACCCACTTCTCTCCTTCCCCTGAGGCCCAGATCGGTTTCAGAAAGAAGCCTTTTCAGCAGCAAGGAGCTAGAGCCACGGAGAAGCCGGGTCAGCGGGGCCAAGGCTGCTACAGACAGGCATGCACGGCGCGTGGTGGTGGTGGGGGGAGACTCTTCTGCTCCTGTTCAGAGGGCTACAGATCTGGGGGGTGTTTCGAGCTTGACATTCGAGGGGCCACAGCATCGCCACGTGGCTCGGACAAGCACAGAATGCAGAACTAACTTTTCCAAAAATCTGTTTCGTGCGTTGGCCTCTTTACTGCCCAACTTGGATTTTTTTAAAAAAACTTTTAATAAAAAAGAGTAGATTGTGTCTTCTCTGTATTATTTCTTTAGACGGCTCTGGATTTGGTCACGTGAGACAAACAGGGCTGCACTTCACTGCACGCTGGTTTACTAGATAGGAGTCCTTACTTCAAGGTCTGGTCTGTGGTTCACCAGGAACCCAGGCGTCGACACTGTCCAAGGTGTCGTTTCAATGGAAAAGAGCGAATTGGTAAATGATGGGATAAGACAGGAGGCACCTGGTATCACCTTCCATTTCTAACGGGCAGACTTAGTCTCATTTTCCAAAATGATTTTGATGACGTATTTCATCCTGAATTTCTCTCTACACTCCTGAAAAAAGTTGAGGTTTTGAAAAATTGTTTCTCGATTGCTAAAATTCCAGTCTACTCTGAAAATATACTGTTTCTGTCTCACCTGTCACAGATAAATATTGGGACCACCAAGGGATCTTAAACTCATTTGTAATTGAGGTCCAGTGACCAGAAGAAGCAGTTATTAAATTTTACAGTGACAATGTGCGGAAATTAAACGGGATTTTTAAAAATGTATTCTAAGTAGTGGCAGGAACAATAATTTGGCAGAGGTTTTAAAAATGCTCTGAAATTTAGGAGAAATAATTGTCAGGATTAAAGGACAAAGCTGTCAGTGACATAATACCGTGAGAGGGCTCTGTTACTGGCATACAAAATGCACTTACCGGGTGAAACATATTTTTATGTAAAATCATCTCTTAAAAAAAATGACTTGATTAAAGAGAAAAGAAAGTTGACCATCCTCTGACCAAAAGGAAAATGGAATTTAAGTGAGAAAAGACTGATGGCTAAGCTGGGCCCTGAATTCGGCACCTTCCAAGGGGAATCCTAAAGCAGCTACTCCATCAGTGTTAAAATCAACTGCAAGAAAAGTGAATCAAGGAGTTTCGGATGCCGTGGGATTCTCCGGGGACCTCAGGGCTGCGTGATCCTGGAACAGGAACACCCTCTGTGATTTCCGTCCCGTCCGGGCTGCGGGGACTTGGCCACAGGGAAGGGTTCCAGGTGACTCGGCAGAGAAGCCCCCGAAATGAGGACAGAGAACAAAAACAGAGACAGAAAGGCCCCTGGGCTGTTGCCGCTCCTCTGTAAAGAAAGGGGCCGAAACTCCACACCTGAAACGTGCGGCGTCCTGCAACGGACAGACGTGAGCCTCCGTACGCAGCGTCACGCTTCCTCGTGACGTTTCTGAGTGGGGTTGCGCTCCGTGCCTTACAGATCTACTCCTGCTGTCCTGGAGATGAGATGGGTACCTCGGGAATATAAATGACGCACCCTAGCAGACTATCGGACACGCCAAACGTCACCGCCGGGCACTCTGAGCCCACGGGGGCTGAAGAAAGGTGCCCCCAACCTGGAACTTTGATGCCACAAACATAAGACTACCCCTCCTCTCTCCTGGAGACCACGGAGCCTGCCCCCGGGTAAGCTACCTGCTCCCGCATGTTTTTGCAACATCCCTGCAGTGAGATGAGGCCACTCGGGGAGTTCTTGCCCAGTGAGGACAGAGCGGGACGTGTCCTTCCCAGCTCCACAGCACAGAAGAACTGTCTCTCCTGCTGGTGACATTGCAGCCAGTGGGGCCTGTGTCCCTGTGGTCCCTGAGGGACTCAGGATGCCCGAGGACCCTCCTCCTGGACTCTCTGCTGCACTGGGTACACAGCACTGGGGGTCACCATCTGGGAACATCTGGTCATGTCCAGAGGCCAGCTGGGTTGTCACAGTTGCTGGTGAAGGAGTGATGCTGCTACTGGTGTCTGGTGTCTAGTGGGTCAAGGCCAGGGTGCTGTCCCCTGTCCCCAGCCCACCACAGACAATCACCTGGCCCCAAATGCCAACAGTGCCCAGGGTGAGTGAGCCTCAAATATGTCCGCGTGAGAATGAACCTTTGCTGGCTCGAGCCCCCGAGATTTCAGGGCTAATGGTCACTGCAGCACAGCTCTGTGTCTCCCTGCTCGTAGATCGTCAGAGAGCTAAACTATAAAATATGACACATTTTATTGTGAATGAAAGAAATCAGAAGCCAGAGTGAGATGTGCGGTCCTCCTTAAGTCTTGGAGAGTTGGCGATGAAAGAGTGAACCAACGGCCAGCTCAGAAGAAGGGAAAACGCACGTGTCAGATGACCGTGGCGGTGCAGAAATGGTGGGGAGGCCAGGATGTGTGTTTGCCGCGCTCTTCCAAAATACAGTGGATAAAGGGGCACGGGGGCTTCAGGCCTCCCTCCTTCTGGGGAGTTAGAGATGTCTTTATAAAAGTAGAGTTAGACACACTGGCTTTTCTTGGCCTGACGCTGCTATGTGAGACTTGTAGCACGGGAGTCAACAGGGAGAGACAAAGAGACAGACAGACAGACAGACAATGCAGTGGCCAGAAGGCAGGGGCTCAGGCCAGCATTTTAAAGGGAAGTCCTCTGTGGGTGCCTGGAGGACCTCTTTGGGGTACAAAAATCACCCACATCCTGTTTCTCTCACTCCTCCAGCCAATGCCATCCACCAGTGTTGGAAGCCCCCTCTGCAGATACATTTATAAGATGCTTCAGTCTGCCTAACAGAGATCCGCTTTTCCAAATACACTTCGATTCGTGTGGGTAACCCCGTGGGTCTGGAGCCTCGACCCTCCCCACCGGCAGACACCCTTTGTTCCGAGTGTCCCGCTGTCTCGGCGAGGGTGACCTGCTTGAATTCTCCCACCCCTTTTCTGTT